ACAACGGCAAAGAGAGCGGCAACGATGGCTACGGCCCGGATGGTGCTGCTCACAGCTCTGAAGCCGAAGGCGCTGCTTACGGCTCGGACAGCGGCGTCTACGGCTCGGACAGCGGCGTCTACGGCTCGGACAGCGGCGTCTACGGCTCGGACAACGGCTATGACTTGGAAGGCGGCATCTACAACGACTACGACTCGGGCAACAACGGGTATGGCAGCAACAACGGCTACGACAACGGCAACGACTACGGCAACGAAAAGGCGGCCAAGGACTACTTCCTCAAGGACTTCTTCTTCAACGTGACGTACTCCAACACGACGTCGGTGCGCAAGGACCTCAGTGTGCCAGCGCCGCCGACGCGCCTCGAGTTTTCGCTCTTTGCGAATGCGCAAGCCACGCCGCTGTGCACGACCACGATCCAGTGCCCAGGCACATCGTACCCCAAGCGTCTTCGTCAGTAGTCAGTTGTCCGGAAGGCTAATGTACTATCAATTCGATACTGTGTCACAGTACTTGTCTAATGCTAAAAGAAAGTTCTGGTTCAAACCTCGTCGTACCCTAGCCCTATCTTGGAGCGTAGCCATGTATTACGGTTCTAGGGTCTCTGCAGCAAAGTGTCGATTACAAAACATCGTTAGCTAAATGCACAGCCATTAAAGGCTACGAAGCGCGAGGTACGATATGCAAAGAGCGTTGACTCTGGGTAGCTCGAGGAGTGCTCGTTTTATCACATCTTTGGTGATGGAGCGTGAGAGTGGACGCTAGCTCTGTCAGCTACAGCATCGCTCGCGATCTGTAGCCTTCTCCAACGCGGTGCACTACCTTGTCGAAGTCATGCCTCTCTGTAACGCTAATGTCACCACTGGTGGGACTACTTATTGGACGAGTGCAGAAGCTACGGCCAAGCACCTGCTCGTCTGGCAGAGCGAGGCGTTGCTGCACTTGCACTGCTCCTAGAGGCCATTGCCTCCTTCCAAGCCCCAAGGATGCTCATAGAAAGACGACGATATCCCGGCCAAGATCCCCGCAACGACGCGCGTCATCAAGCACTCGACAAAAGACCAAGACCGCAGTTTGCGGCGCGGCGACTTGACAGCGCTCGGAGGTCGCCTCGTCGATCACTCTCGAGCCCATGTATTGAGACGGCTGTAGATTGCCAACGTTGCCTCGGCCGACAAAGAGTACGGGACATTGCGGCCACGTTGCAGCAGCTCATCCCGCCCCGCGCCACGACGGGCGTGGCGACCGAGAACTTGCTCGCGCGCGTCGAAGCGGTGGTCGCTGCCTCTAAAGTTTTCGATTTATAAAGAGGCCCGTGTGTATATTGATGTTCCTGGGCGATTTTTTGTAGGGCAAAGTCCTTTGCAGCCGCCAACCCATGTAAACACCGATACACGTTTGACAACTATCCATTGCCACTCCAGATAACTAGAAGTATGAACCCCAGGTGGCCTATCTTTAGTACGCGCACTGTATCTTGATAGTGATGGTTGTTGCAGATGTGGTCCTGAGGCACTACTCGTCTCTGTCTATAAAAAGACGAGCAGTTGGAGATTGGCAGGGCGATACCAGCGTTCGGATAACCGCCGAAAGATCGCGCGCGCGTATTTCATTTTTGAATTTGCCGAGCAGCCCACAAGTCCAGACCATCTGCCGTAGACGCATGACCATGGACGTCGGTGGCATATATGGGGAATGGCTAGGGTGCGAGTGATACCCGATACCCTTCCTCTGCATCATGGCGATGCTCATGCTCATGACCTCGATCAACGTGCGCTCCGACGCACTGGCTGAACAGTGTCGTCATGCGACTGCAGGCACCCCGCTCGTTGGTGACATTAGTGACGAGACAACCATCGAGTACGCGCTCTTTGATCGTTCTGGCAACGAAGTGTTCTGCCGCAAGCTTGGCTTTGTGATCACGGGTCAACTCATTCAGAACCGCCTCCGCCCCTACAAGTGGCGGATTCTCCGCCTTTGGGTCTGGGACGGTTAACGACGTGGTCCGCGCAATCCTCTCTTGATGTCGTGTAACTATCGGTGCGTAGATCATCAACTTTTACTTGTGCCCGCTCAAGGAGCGCGAAGCGATCGCGTCCATGACGCTTGGCATTCCGGGCAGCCATCTACGACTGCAGCGTGTTCAAAGTCTTTTGCACTCTAGTCGGTAACCAGGCATCGAAGTGGCGGTGTTGAATGGATTCGATAGTCTTCGCACTTCTTTACAAAGCGATCAAGCTACTCGTACGGTACGAGCCCACGTCGTCCGTCGTCGAGGCGCGCGACGAAAGCATCTTGGAACTGCTCGACGGCGACAGCTGCAGCGTCTCGTATCCGCTTCCGGGTGCGTCCTCGTGGCTGCTAATCGTGCTTTGAGACGTCGCCCAGTTGTCGACCCAGTCGTCCGTCGTTGCAAACTCGCCTCGAAGCGACGGCGCACGGACAAGGGTGCACCAGCGGAAGCGCTCCGGTACCGCAGGCAACGACGGTCGACCCTTGCGATACAAGTGCCACGCGAAAACACCCGCCCCAATCGCCGCCGCCACCGACACGACTAGGCCGCCGACAAGCACAGAGCTCAGCGCCGATAACTTTTCATCTGCACGTGTCATTGCTGGGATCGTCGCGTTGGAGGTGGTCGAGTTGGTGGTATTTCCAACATCCGAGCACGCCCACGTTGTGCTGCAGAGGGTGCTGCTGGCAGACGATAGCGTCAGGCGTACGTGCGTCGGTGGCGTCGACAGTGAAAACTCGAGGTGTTGCGGCGTTGCATTGGTCGCCGCCGGTAAAAGCACGCGGACACTTCCGAGAACGTCCGAGTCGTTGCTGCCGAGAGCGAGTACGGATGCCTCGATCGGGTCGTACGCCGTAGCGTTGAGTAGAGTCAGGTCGAGAGCGACGGTCGTCTGCTGCGGAAGCACGATCGTGTCGGGGGTGACAGCATTGCACGTCGCCTGGATTTGAGCCGCACTAGTGTCCCATGCGCAGTTTGCCGAGTCGGCGGCAAGCTGCGTGGCCGCCGCCATGATCAGTGCCGCGAGGAGGTACATCCTGCGTAGCGAGTATCTGCTCAGCGCAGGGCAAGATGGGGAGTGCGATGGCCACTGC